CATGCTCAGTACATAAACGGGGGCAAAGCTGGCTGGGGGGGGCCGCTGCTTGGGGACTGGCTGGGCATCGGTCAGCGGGTGGCGAGCAATTGCACTGTGCATCACTGACTTTGTATATTTTATTATTATTACTATTTTACTTTATTTCAATTATTAAACTGTTATTATCTCAACCCATGAGTTTTCTCACTTTTACTCTTCTGGTTCTCTCCCCCATCCCACCGGGGCTGGTGAGGGTGAGTGAGCAGCTGTGTGGTGTTTGGTTGCCGACTGGGGTTAAACCACAACACCAGTGCAGCACACTGAGATTATTAGACAGCACTTTTTTTTTTAAAGTTGTTTAATGAGAACTCCTCTGTGTCTCCTTAACATAACCAGTGATCCTTTTCAAGGCATTCTGTAGGAAAGGATCGTTGATAGCAACAAAGCTGTTCAGCTAGTTTAAGAGTTACTCTTAGTAACTGGCTTGGTCAACATCAGAGATGTCTGTAAGAGTTAGCTGAATGATAATCACACAGTTTTGCAGGAGGAGGAGACACAAGGAGTGCAAATGAGTTGGGTGAGAAATGCATAAGCTTCAGAAAGAGCCTGGAAATCCTGATTCTTTTTGATGTGGCCTGACTTGTAAAACTACCTCTTTACTCTCTTCTGGAAAGCAGTAATAGAAAGGAAGAAGAGTTATTGGCTTTATTTTTGGGACATAATATGCCAACCCTTCCTCTTCTGCTGTTCCCCAGTACCCCATTTAAGAACATGAGAGCTGTGGGTAATCGGACCCTGAAGTTAGGACCATATCTGACCTGCAGTTACGAATGCTTGCACAGCCATGCTCTTCACTGGGCCAGTTGTTCTGGAGTACTTGGTTGTTAGACTTGCAAGGAAAGAAGATGTATTGCTACACAAAGTAGTTTGACCTCTTCTGTTTGTTTTTGTCTTTTCTTAAAGACACAGACCTTGCACAGGACAGTGCCGCAAGAGAGGTTAAGCTCTCTTCTCTCCAGTTCCCTCTTTCATCTGGTAAATACGTGGCTGTAGGCAACTGCAGTACCTTTAAACATCGGCTTTCATTTAACTTTAATTGTATCTGGGAAAAAGTTGGGGTCGCACTGATATATGCCCGCTGATCATGATCTGACTGAATATGTCTTCATGTTACACTTCATGAATTGGTCAGGTCAATTTTGTGAACCAAGTGTTGCCTTTTGTTACACTAGAGGATATATCAGGGTTGAAAGAAGTTGAAATGAGTAATCAAGTGCTTGTGTAAAGTTTTACTTTTTTACTTTTTAGCTAATCCTACAAATCCATGCAAAAAAAATTCAGACAATTAATATCGAATCCATTCTTTATTTATTTCTTCAGTCTTAGCATAGGGAAATGCTTTTTTCTCCTTCAATTTCCAGATTAATATGTAATGTTAGGTCATATAATAACAAAATGTAACACTACCCTTCCCTATCATTTTTGTCTAGGGACCATGATGATTGCAGCCTGTAAGTTCTGTATTAATTGTTTGCTCCCTATCGAGGTGTACAACTCTCTCTTGAAGTCACAGGAAAAATGAGTGTCATAGAAGCTTTTTTTCAAGGAGAGGGAGGAGTTTTTTCCAGGTGACCAGCTGGAAGGAAATACGTTTTGCATTTTAGATACTATTAAAGAACAGTACCCTTTGGTGAAAAGTATTTTTTTTTTCTGATTTTTTTTAAAAAAAAAAAAATGTGTATATGAATTTCAGTTGGATTCTAAACAATTTCAGCACTTAAGCAGTCTACTCTGTGTTTCTGCTTGCCTGTAATATAATTCTTACTAGACAAATGATAAAGACATCCAGGCAAAGTGACAGTTATCTAGGGGGTCAGTTTAATTGTTTTCTTTCTTTGGGTATTTTTTCCCTCCCCTGGTCTTCTGTTTCTTGGCATTTCACCAAAAAAAAAAAAAAGAATGGTCTTTATAGTCACTGAAGACCATGTGGCTAGATAGGTGAAGGAACTTGAGGTTTTCCAATCTTATTCTGCTAGATATTAAACAGTTACTTGACATGAGAGGCTTTGTTCCTTCTTGCACAAATGAAAATGGAGGAAGTTGAAGACTGTGCAGTATGAAAGCATATAAACATGTTTAGCACAAAACTACTTATTAATAAAGTTACAGGTCTGGCACGTAGCTTTAGTTTGATTTTTTTTTTTTTGTCAGTAATGGGAGCATTCATACAACTCTCTTTAGGTACCTACTTGCATTCTCTGACTTGCATCTGAACTAGAATCCTACTGTAGTCGGTGTGAAAACCTCCCTTCTAAGGATTTCTAAAATGTAGAGAAACACATGAGTATGGAAAAGTAGTTTGCCTAGCAGTGCCAGTTTGAAGGAGATGAGGAAGATAAGGAAGGTGGAATGAAAGGGAGAGGCTGAAAAAATGTTAATGTTGTAAATTTGATCTCAATGTATTGCAACACAAGTTGCCCCGTGGCTGGGGCATCCACCTGTCGTGGGCCACATGTGGCTTGCACTGAATCTTTAATTGCCCCACATGGCCCTGTCGTAATGTCTGTGAGTACTTCTCCTAGGAGGACCTGGTAACCTGGTAAACCTGCTCTGAGGGACAGGTAGGCAGTAGGGAGTTGGCATTATCCAGGTGGCACAGAGAGATACAGAGTGATGCTGAACGCTGATCTGCACCTTGAGGGCATGCTCTAACTGCTAGGCTGCTTGGCAAGTCTGGAGAGGGAAACTACCACCAGGTTTTGATTCTGTTGCCTGTTTATTCTTCCAGATGAGGCTGATGAATTTGGACTGAATTCATAAATTTCAGAGTGGCTGCAATCATGTTTTCAAGCAGTTTATTCTTAAACAATAAATATATTAAGTTTACTTCTGAGTGATTTGCCTTAGCAACTTATTGCCAAGTAATTTACCTCAGAAGTCATACTTCCTTCACCACCATGTATTGCAGATGCACAACAAACATACCTGTCTTATCCCAGGAGATCCATAATCTGTGAGAATTTGTAGTCACGAAAGCAAGAAGTGCACTTTTTCCTTTTGAGTTTTTATTAGTATTTTCTTTTTATAAATGCAAACCTTGCTTCAGAATAGTCTGCCTAGAGCCCTATGCACTCAATAAAGGGTTGACTGATTTTTCTTTGTGTAGGTGATTGAGAATTTAATTATTGATAAATTCAGAGCTAAGAAATATATAGTACCGACTTATGTTCTTTCTGTAAGATTAGGTAAGATATTTTGTTTATTGATGTAGGTAAAAATTCAAAACACTTGTTTTCTTTTAAAGGGATATGTAACTGTAGGGGGAAACACTTGTTCCTCACATAGATGGCAGAGCAGCTCATTCATGGTAGTATAGCACTGCATATATATACACGTATGCAACACAAATGCATGTGCACACAAATGTAGACAAATGTGTATATTTATGGTTGTTTATAACATGGTCTTATTTCTAATACTGAACACCTGTTTTTCCCTACTGTGTCTCCTCCTGTACATCCCAATAACAGGAAAAAAAAATGCCTTCATAGCTCTGTTTTTTTAAGCGATGTCCAAAATTAAACAGCAATTAAAAGGAGGATGCTGAAATAATACAAATAGCTTAACTTAGCAGATTCATAGATAGCTTCCCTCATTTTTTCCCTTCCTAGTCCTATTTTATTTTCTCTGAGCACCAATACGCAGACCACCTGGTTATCAGAGCAGTGACAACCCTTCAGGCTTACAAATAGAAGCTGAAGCTGCTCAGACTGCTACAGTGGCCACCTCTAATAGATCCATCATTCTCAGGTGTTAAAATTCCCTTGCCTATGGTGGCATTTATGTCTTTTCTCATTGTCAGTAATTTCCATATTGAAGGACAAAAAGGGGGGGGAGGGACCAACAAAAGTAAGCCCAAATCGCAGATAATAAATATTGAAGGTGCACAGATTGGTGCAGTTGCGAACAGCATTGTCACCTTGTGTACTCATACTTCATCGGTTGTATTTATATAGAGGCTTTTTTTTTTTGTATGATACTTTGTATCAATTCACCTGTTCTGCTTCATGTTAGTAAATAAATGGTTAGTTAGGGAACTGTGTGATTAAGCGCTCGGAGACTATATGGTGACTATACTAGGAACAGAATTTAGTTTTGTACTTCTAAAAAACCAAATAAGTAAATACCAAAGAAGAATATCCTTTAATTTTTATTTATTTATTTTAAATACCTATCATGTTTTAAAATGGGTATAAAAACACTGTGATTTGATTGACTGAAAATGTTTATATCAGACTGTTTACAAATCAAATCTTCCTTCTTACTCTGAAAATTGTTGCATGCCTCTCAAAAAAAACCCAGCAAGATTAGCAGTGAATTGATGGCCCTCTTTAAAAGTAGGTTTGTCTGAACTTATAACATTATAAATAATTACTTTTGTATCTAAGGTGTTACACATGACATTTAGAAAACACTTCACTACTACAAGACAATTTGAGAACAAATTAGATCAGAAGGAAGAAAGAACTGCAGGAAAGACTTTAATCAGCATTCATTATTTATTCCTGTATTCTGAGAACATTATATATGCCAAATACAGGCCTTTAATCAAATAATGATTAAAATATTCAGATCTCACCTATGTAGATAGATGCATTGACCCAAATTTCAGGTGTCCAAGGGGAAAATGCTGTGGTTTGTGCAGCTGATAGAAGCGCTCTGTTCCCACCCCCTGCTGTAATTGATTTGGCCAGCGATCCATTGTTTGGTTTTTTTGTTGCTTTTTTTTTTTTTGCAAAGTTCCCCCGTCTGCTGTTCATACCATGTTTTAAGATAAACAAGACAATCCTTTTCAGTTGTCTGTCTTTTTCTTCTTTGTAGCTAACTGCCAGGCCACCTGAACAAATCAACTGCTTCACAAGGTCCCCAAATAAACACATCTTTTGGTATGGGTAACTGAGGTTAACTGGACAGAGGCAAATGAAACTCATTCCTCTTCATTTTGTCTTCTTTTGTAGTTAATCTGCTGGATTCAAAAACAATTCAAGGGGAGCTGGGCTGGATCTCCTACCCATCACATGGGGTGAGTGCGCTAGACTGTGAAATGGAAAAGTGCTGCTACAGACCAATGTGCTATTTAACCATTGTTTCCTCTTCAGAGGACACCGTGCAATAGCACTGGTTCTTTGGAGCTTCAAAAATAGTCTGCTTTAAACTTGCAATATGTGGCTTATATAGATATGGTGCCTTCCCTTTAGAACATACATTGCACTGCATGTAATCCCCAGGAAGAGCTCACTCTTACTGGAGAAAATGAAAGCAAGAGGTGCATTGAGGAAAAAAAAAAAATGTCTTTAGGTACTGTTCTGTCTTCTATCCCAATGTGTATTTCTAAAAGATATCATGGGACTGTTTCATAGTATCACTTGCTAATTTATTCAGATGGAAGTTGTGGAAGGTTAAAAATGTGTGGGCATAGCAGGTGATGTAAGTACTTATTGGATAACTTTTGTGCTGAATTGTTCAAGTACTGTTACTTAGGAGTTAAAACGTTATTAAAGAAATGTCTAAATAGTTCTTGAGGGTTGTTTTTCTTTTTTTATTTACCTTGTATCCAGATCTAATGAAACTAGGCATTCTATTTGGAGAAGTAAAAGTGCAGTCTTGGAGCATTTGTGCTTTCGAACTTGCTAACTCCATCATTTTTACATAGCATTTGCCACCAGTCTCTTTTTAAAATTTTTGATGACTTAATATCAGTGCATAGCTGTCCAGTGGTGCTGATATCTGGTCACTCCCCAAATTCTTGTCTCTGTGGAATGTGTGTGTGTAGGAACAACCCATTACTCTCTTTCTACATTGCATAGCGCAGATATGCAAAGAGACTCTTGCATT